TCCTCAGCACCACATAAGCAAAAAGAAAAAAGCTGGAAGTGGCACTGTGGCTCAAGTGGTAGAGCGCTAGCCTTGAGCTGAAGAGCTGAGGGACAGTGTCCAGGCCCAGAGTTCAGGCTCCATGACCGACCAAAAAAAAACAAAAACTGGGGGCCCATTAGTCCCCAACTCAGCCTTTGGTTGTTGTCTTGTCTAGTTCTGTTTTAGAATTGGTACCAGTTTTAAATGTGCAACTTTGGGGATTTTTTTTAACTCAGGAATTCCTGGTTCTTGGCTAAGTACCCTATTATTTGAGCCACACTCCTAGCCTTTTTTGGTTTAGTTATGTTTAAGGGTCTTATGCTTTTTGCCAGGTCCAGTCTGGCCTATGATTTTTGCGCTTATACCTTCTTTGTACCTGAAATTACACAGAACCATGCTCTGCTTGTTATTGGGGTGAGGGTCTCACTAACTTTTTGCCCAAGATGGCCTCAAGCTGCGACCCTCCCAATCTCTACCTCTAAGTCACTGTAATTGCAGATATGAGGGCAACTCTTGAACACTTATGCCAATTGTAACAAGTTCATAAAGATGCAAATATCAGTAATGGAGGGTATGAGTAAACATGAAAGAAAGGAAATGAATCCAAGTGAGAGGACTGGTTTCCACAACAGGCCCTGTCCTCCACTGTGAGCAGAAGGAGTGAGTCTAGGTTTCAACTGGTGTTTTGAATTTGGTGTTGGGGAAATGATTAGTTTCGCTATGGTAGCTTTATGTCAACAAGATTATTGGATTACAAATAAGAAGGTGAAAATAAGATGGTAGTCTGAGTGAGAAAACTCATTAAGTAAGCATTATTAGCAATCCACTACAGCATATGAAGGAAATATGAAGTTTCTGTGGTGGAACTGAGTGCTCACTTGCCAGTGTTAGTCACGAGTACCTAGTAATACCAGTTGTCTACTTACATAACATTTTTTTCTGTAATGTTTTCCAACTCAATTCTAAATTAAATGTACACATTTATTGTTATACTTTCTTTGGCTCTTGATGAAAATACAGTATTCCTCACTCTGCTGTTTAAAAATTAACTATGACCATACTTGCATTTTACTTTTGCATTTTTAATAAAATCAAATTATGTCAGTGTTTACAAAGCAACATGGAGTATTTTAGAACTTTATTTTAAATGAATCAAACCTGAGTAAATTCAGAGTCGACTTTTGGGCTTGCAATAATTAGGTAATCTTGAGTGTCTGAGGTAAAATGTCTCACTTGAGAGCTTCGTGGAATAATGATGGTTTGTACCTGCAATAAAGACAGAAGAGAAGAAATAAATTAAAATGATGACTTTAAGGAAAAGACTAGGCTCCTAGTGTTTGAAGAATTGTCCTGATCTGTGGGTAAACCAAATTGTCCTTTGAAAAGGCACAAATCTAACCCTGAATTAAGATACCTTCCTACATAACAGCTTGCGAAGAGTTCTTTTTTTCATCTTTACCTTGCATTCATAAACTGTTTTGCTGAGTGGTAACTCCTTTGTACAATTACTTAGAGGTAATACAAATACAATTTTAAAACATTGAACAAACATTATCTTCAATTTGATTACTGTTACAAATCTGAGTTTCTTTTAGGCAGTCTGAGGAAAAAAAATTGAGAGAGGAAGAGTGGATGAATGCAGTCTTCATAATTATTGTACATATATGAAAATGGAACCAGGAAATTTGAGGGTATGAGTGAGGTTGGGAGAGAATGATGGCGGGGTAATATTGATCAAGATGCATCATACTCAGGAATGGAAATTCCTTTGTACACCACTTAAAGATAATTTTAAAAAGAAAAAAAAGATTATTTTTACCAGAAATAACTTGAATTCAGAGGTGAATGCATATACACTGCTAGCAGAAGGCCTTTCTCCATTTCTTTCTTCATGAGTAACCACTATGTAGGGGGAAAGGCCAATGATAAAGGCCTCACAGCTTTCAGGATTTTCTATATTTAAATCCTAGAAATCAGAACAATAGTAATTCATGCTGTGTTCAAAATTTACCTGCACATTTTATTCTATGTATCATTTTGAAAAAGTGATATTAGGTGCCTCGTTAGACTAATAGGTAGCACGTCAGTCTCATAAAAAGATATTTACCACAACTGGAATAAAAATTCCTTGCCATCGGTAAACAGTCAGCGATGATTTTCTTAACATTATTCCATATGTCAAATCTTCTAGAGCAAAGAAACACCAGCCAGAAGATGACTTGTTCAAAAAACTTTGAAATGTGGAAAAGACAGAATCCATTCCTCCTAAGAAACATGATTATTTATTAGTGTATTATCTCTTTCTCTTTCATAATTTATGTAATTTATTATTAAACAATGAGACTAGTGAATGTATAACTACACATAAAAATCTTGCCATGGTGTGTGTGTGTGTGGGTGTGTGAGAGAGAGAGAAAGAGAGAGACAGAGAGAGGGAAAGAGAAAGAGAGAGGCAGATAGGAAGACATACTGAAACTGAGACACGCTAGAAAATTTCAGAATAACTGAAAATAGTAACTCTTATAAATAAGAAAAATACTAATACTTTAAGTACATATAGACTTTTCCAAAGCCTTTTTTTTTTGTAGGTCATGGGGCCTGAACTCTGGGCCTGGACACTGTCCCTCAGCTCTTCAGCTCAATGCTAGTGCTCTACCACTTGAGCCACAGCGCCACTTCCAGCTTTTTCTGTTTATGTGGTGCTGAGAAATCGAACCCAGGGTTCATTCATGCAAGGCAAGCACTCCACCACTGAGCCACCTTTCCAGCCCTCCAAAGCCTATTTTAAAACAAATTCTGAATGTGGATTTAAAAGAAAAATATGTTAAACAAGTCAACTTTCATAAATGTGGTGAAAATATAACCAAGAAACTTAAAAATAATAAATGTTTTGCAGAAATATGCTGAATGCAGATTTTAGAACTTACACAGTATTTTGAAACTGCACCTTCTAGTGGTTTCTCACTGTACATTTTACATTTTACATGTTTTAACAATGACATTTTATATTTTACACATTTTAACAATGATAATGAAAACATACAAATTTCAAATGACTGTCAAGGTTTGGTCAAATACCTATTACTTCTACATATCCTACACTCCTGTGTTACAATGAAAAGAGTGAAGAGAAAACTATCCTCTAATGAAGAACTACTGAAAATTCTATTATGAATGATCATGACTACACCAAGGCTAATAGTATGCTCATGATGCAACAAGAACAAGATTCAAGGTTGAAAACGAGGCTCCTTATAAAGGAAATGTTTGAACATACAAAAATGTCAGTCCAAGAATGCAGAAAGTCAGTACTTATAGCATATCCATTATAGATTGTCTTTCCTAAAAATCCAACAAATGCCTATTATGTTAACTTTTAAACAAGTAATCAGACACTAGTAACTCATGGCTGTAATCCTAGCTTCTCAGGTGGCTGAGGTCTTCAGATCACAAAACCAGCCCAGTCAGGAAAATCCATGAGATTCTTATCTCCAATTAATCGCCAAAAAAAAAGGAAGTGGTGGTGTGTCTCAAAGTGATAGAGAGCTGGCCTTGAGAGGAAAAAAAAAGGAAAGAAAAGAAAAAAGAAAAAAAGTTCAAGGACAGTAATTATGCCCTGAGTCCAAGCCCCAAGACAGGCATCAAAAAAAGGAAGAAGAAAAAAGAGAAAAGAAGAAAGAAGGGAAACCATGGGACCTATGTTTCTTTGGGCCTGGCTTACTTCACTTAATATAATTTTTTCCAAGTCCTTATTTGTAATAACTAGTATATGTCTGAGACAAACAGAAACAGTCAGATAAGTTGATGTTAGGTGAAATGAATCCCAAGATAAGGATTCAAATGTATTGTTCTTTCTTGTGATTGTTTCTAACATATTTATAAGATGATTTCTTTGTTGCTTTGTATGTCCCTCCCCCACGGTATAACCCCTGCTTTCACTGTATTTGATGTTGGTATAATTTGTGGAGGGGAAGGGAAAAAACAAATGGTTTAACTAGGGATACAGGTGGACCCATTGAAACAAGGAGATGTACAAGTCGTTATGTCGAAAAACAAACTTTACAACTTTGGCCAGGGGTGGGAGGATGAGGGGGCTGGGAGATGGGAAGGGATGGGAAGGGGAAACAAAGGAGGAGGCAAGAATGCTTGATAAGAAATGTACTCAGTACCTTGCCCATGTAATTGTAACCCTTCTGTGTGGTATTTTCACAATAAAAAAGAAAAAAAGAAGAAGGAAGATAAAAGAAGAAAGAAGGCAGAAAAAAGAGGAAAGAAGGAAGAAGGAAGAGGAGGAGGAGGAGAATGAGAAGAAGATGAAGAAGAGGAAGAAGGAGAAGAGGATGAGGAAGAGGAGGAGGAGGAGAAGGAGGAGGAGGAGAAGGAGGAGAAGAAGGAGAAGAAGGAGAAGAAGGAGAAGAGGAGGGAGGAGGAGGAGGAGGAGGAGGAGGAGGAGGAGGGCCATAACTCTCCTTTGCCAATCCTTAGTGATCCTGAAACATGACATTCTGTACCATAATTCAATAAGGCAAATGAAGAAGTGACTGGTAGTGTTTTAGAATCTACATTCATGCAAATACTTCCACAATGCAGACTCCAAATGATAGTAATAGAATGGAGTTGGAAATCATTTACCCATCTCTCCAACCTAAACAACCAAAAACGGCTCTGAATCCAATGCCACATCACCACCTTCTTTGACTTTATTGTCCTAGCCAGGCATAATAGCATGAATTTTCAGCATTTGTTCCTGCACCTTCATTCATTATGATATTCACATCCAATCTTTCTCTACAAAAAGCACCTGATGTTTTTCATTATAGCTTTCTGAAATCCTAACAGTAATGGTTATTCTTTAGATTCTCATCTTGTTGGTCTTCTAACCAGCAAATGCCCCAGATTGTCTCCTCCATTTTAATGCACTCTTCTGCTAGTGATTGCAATCCCATATTCTGAGTTTCTCATCAGGTCTTCCAAACCTGTTACTGGTTGTAAATTTTCTTTCCATGTGTTTGAATAAAATGCACGCAAAAGATTACCAAATACAAAATCAAACAAACAACTATTTAGGGTTTAGAGATGTGGATCAGGTGACAGAGTGCCAGCCAATGCATGAAAGTGTCAGATACCCCATCCAAGCCTCAATTTGGGAAAAATTAAAAAATATCTAACCAAGCTTATTTTCCAGTAGAGACCTTAACATCTTCTCAAAAATAACTCAAACTCAACATGTGTTAAAATACATTCATTTTTATTTCCACCACAAGAATAATATTTGCTTTTCTTTCTGAATTCCCTTTTTTTTTCCTGAATGATATGACCTCCACCCAGCTGTATAAGTTAGGAAACTAGGATTTATTCCTGGCATTTCTTTGTCTGCCCTCAAATCCAGTCCACCACTGGGTCTAAACTACCATCATTGTTGCCTTTTTCCTGTCTCTCCATGTCCTCTCTGCTCTTCTAAACAAACCATTGTTTGTATAGCACTATGGATAATATCACCAAAATGCAGAGATGATCATGCTCGAACTACCCAGAGACTTTCAATTAAACAAAGATAAAAGGTTAATACCTCTAATTCTTTGTTAACACATCAACATCAATCCTGTCCTTTATTTCTGTGCCCATTTTCCACTCTGGTTCTTCACTTAGAATCTGGCATTTTAGGCTTCGAGTCTGTTACCCTGACAATCTCCAACCCTTCAGCCCAGTTCTTTCCATGACGAATCTCTACTCATTGTTCAGCTTATTTCAAACACTGGCACCCCTGAGAAACATTTTCATATGTGGGGTTTTTTTTAACATTGCCAGCTTTCCCTTTACAACATTTGTTCAAATTTACACTACACACTGATTTATACTGATTTATTCCTGGCAGCTTCTAAATGCTAAGCTCCAAGGGCTCCATTCCATGTTTAGTACATAATAGGTGCTTAATAATTACTCGTCGATGCAATAATAGAATTAGCTATCTGTTCTCCATTTTCAATAGATTCATTCAATAAGATGCATGGAAATCATGTGAGTCTTATCCATGTGATAAATTAGTTTAAATGTTTTTCTCTTATAAGATATTAAACATACTTGTTCCAAAGGCTGTTTCAGGTATTGTTTCCCACTGCACACTCACAGCTAAATCAATGCCATTGGCACGTGACACATTTAGGTATACGGTCCTGTTGGATTCTTCAACATCTATAGAGCTTGCTCTATAGAAACAAGAAACAAAGCAAAAAAAAAAGCATATTTTTATATATTTAACTGTACACAATATGGGCAGCATGTACTTGACCTAAATTTTCACAATCTGGGAATCCAAAAAGTTGATACATTGACTCTAGCACTCAAAAATATTCACTTATGTAGCTTTTTTTGATGCACAAATGCAACACTGAAACCATGGCCACAAAAATTAAGTAAAGAGGGGGCTGGGAAGGTGGCTCAGTGGTAGAGCGCTTGCCTTGCATGCCTGAGGCCCTGGGTTCGATTCCTCAGCACCACATAAGCAAAAAGAAAAAAGCCGGAAGTGGCACTGTGGCTCAAGTGGTAGAGCGCTAGCCTTGAGCTGAAGAGCTGAGGGACAGCGCCCAGGCCCAGAGTTCAGGCCCCAGGACCAGACCCCCCCAAAAAAACTAAAGATCAGAAATTTCATATTAGATGGAGAATAAATTGAAAGAGAAATAAATTTCATTCTTAAACTTCTCCACACATATATCCAATCTCTGATAGAAAAATAAAGTGAGGAAATTCTTAGCATAATACTAAAACTAGAGGTCTTAAAATACTTTATGATAAAAATCTCATAAAATTGGACAGCTCCTAAAGGAAATTTTCAAGCTCCAAGATGTTAATAAACATTTGAACAGTTTGAAGAAATGCAATAGGATCATACAAAACAACCCTCTTTGTGGCTAACCCACCCAGATTAAACCAGATAGAAAACTCAGATTTACAACAATAACAAAATATTATTTATATTATTTCTTGTTTTTTATTGTGATTAAAAACACAAAATAGTGAAGCTCTTAACCTATAAGTACCAGTTCCAAGAATATGAGAATTCTATTGACACCACTGTTTAGGATTTATTTAGGTTTTTATGCTCCTGTTACCAGGCCACTTATAATTTCTCTAAATTTAATCTTCTAGAGTTAAATTCAAAACCCACTTTTTATTTTTTATTTTTTTATTGTAAAGATACTATACAGAGGGTTACAGTTACATGAGTGAGGTAATGAGTACACTTCCTCTTGAACATTGTTAGCCCCTCCATTGTTTTCCCCCTACCATCCCCTCCCTCTCTCCCTTCCCCAAGGTTCTTTTTTTTTATTGTGATTAAGTGATTACGTAATTTCCGGAATTTCACAGTATTGTGGAATAATGATGCTCATTTAAAGTCACAAGTTCATTCTAACTTTCCTGGAGCAAATTGTCTATCACAGTCTGTAATATTAACGGTGTTCACATGTTATACACCATACATGTGATCAGCAGCATGGGGATATTTAGTAGTGGTTCAACCAGATGAGTGGGAGTTCTTTGCAAAACCCACTTTTTAAATAAGGAGAACTGATTATGATGCCACATGTTTGTAATTCCAGCAGGTGAAACTAGAGGATGTCTGTCCCAAGACTGGCTCAGCCAAATGTGGAAAAAAAAAATTTTAAGGAACATATAAGGGCATGGCTCAAGTGGTAGAATGTTTACCTAGTAAGTTTAAGACCCTGGTTTCAGCCAGGTGCCGGTGGGTCATACCTGTAATCCTAGCTATTCAGGAGGCTGAGATCTGAGGATCATGGTTCAAAGCCAGCCCAGCAGGAAAGTCTGTGAGACTCTTATCTCCAATAAACCACCAAAAAAACAGAAGTGGTTCTGTGGCTCAAGTGGTAGAGTGCTAGGCTTCTCTGAAGAGCTGAGGGACAGTGCCCAGGCCTAGATTTCAATCCCTATGACCGACCAAAAAGGAAAAAATAAAATAAAAGACCCTGATTTCAATCCTATGGCCAGCAAAAAAACTAAACTAAAACAAAATACCAATTTCCTTGCACATTTTTAATCACAAAAATATTCCCCTCCTAGTTTTAAAAAAGACAATATCCTTATAAATAAACTCTACCTATTTCCAACGGCCAAGATGCTGAATAAGCCTAATGGGGCCTGGTTTTGCAAAACTGTGATCAGCGTTTGAACACGTGTCCCTAATCTAGCACCTCCAGTTGGATTAAACAAGGTGCAGACAAAATGTTCATCCATTTCTGGTTCTGTGTCTAATATGGCAGATATGTGTAGGGTCTGAAAACAAAAGCAAAGGATTAAGTTAGTAGAAATACAACATTGTTCCAACACATACACAGAGAAATTCCTCAAACACTTTGACAACCAATAGTATTTTGAGAATAATCTTTTTTAATTTAATACTGCCCCCAATATGTTTTGGGGATTTTCAAAACTATGACAATTAACAACAGCACATGCATTCGACCCTGCCTTGGCTGCATAACTCTATTAGTCTCAGTCTGGTTTAGGATTCAGTCTAGAAGCAGTGGTAGCCATAGGAAGCACAAAATAGAAATAAAGTGCTCACCCACTGGAAAATGAATAAACAAATTATATCCTATTCAGTCAAAAGCAAACCAATTCAGCGATAAAAGAACCAATTACTGTATAGTGCGGCCATAGATATTTCAAGAATTGTATTGAATGAAGGAAGGCAACACAAAGAGTAGATACTATTTCATTCTATTTAAACAAATTTGAGAAACAGCGAAGTGAGTATTCAGCATTAAAAAATAGAAAATACTTTCCATGGAAGGCAAAGGGAGAATTTTCTAGACACTAATAATGTTGAGTATCTTCATTTGAACACGTTACATGTAGACAAACGTATTTTTAAAGTCATTCATCTATATGCTTAAGATTAGTATATTTTACTGTTTATACTTCAAAACAAAAACAGGTAGAAATGAATTCGGTGGGTTAAGAATTCTGCTTAACTCGAAAAGGTCAAATAAGTTGATGTTAGGGAAATATGTATTCAAATGCTTTTTTTTCTTTCATGCAATTGTTTCTAACACATTTATAAGATTATTTCTTTGTTGTTTTGTATGTCCCTCCCCCACAGTATAACCCGTGCTTTCACTGTAAAAAAAAAAAAAAAGAATTCTGCCTAACTCTTATGAGCTAACATTTAATATGCCTAATAAAACAGAAAGAGCTTTCAATAAACTGAAAAAAAGAGACTTCAGGAAAAAACACAATAAATGATAATAGATGAATAAAAATGTGAATAAAACAACAGCAAATTCTTATTTCACTTCAAATTATATGGTCATGCCAAGACTTTTGAACAAATCAATAAAATGTTTTAAATTTTCAAAAAAATAAAAATAATCAAACACGAACATATGTTGAACTTTACAAAGCACATCACTATGAAAATTATCTAATTATTAAACGATCTGTTTAACTTTAGGGCTAAGACATCGCTCCAGTACCAGAGCACTCATAAAGCATACACAAGGTCCTGGGTTCAATCCCCAGAACTGCAAAAATGAACTGAAATAAACGAATTATAAAGTTTAGTAGCAGAAAGAGAAAATTAATGCATAGGAAAAGAATTTTGGAAGGCAAACTTCTATGTACAGATTACATTCATAACAAATGTCAAATCTAGCATCTTTTCTCCAATAAATGACTCCCCTTCTCAAACAACTACATTTTATTAAGAATGAGCAAAACAAAAAGAAATGAATGGCCTGTAATGTTAGTTCTATGAATCAAAAGTTTTTAAAAAATATAAAGTATGCCATTTGGATAGGCTTGAAATTTAAAATATCAAAATATGTACTTTTATTTATACACATATTTCTCTATTGAGAACAAATTTTTCCTATTTTCTTCTTTCTCTCTCCACACACACACACACACACACACACACTCACACTATATAACATAACAGCTCTTGACACACAGTTATTCATAAAAAATTTATCTCTCACCACTTAGAGGCATAAAAAGGTATAAAGAATATGCCACTAAGAGAAAATTATTTGTAAGTTGTAAAGACAATCTGTTCTCATTAAGTTCATACTCTACCTTGAATCGAACACCTTCCTCTAAAACAATAAAACCTCTGGAAGGAGTCAAATCTTTTGACTCTACTGAAGAATTGACGTCTGTCACCATGAATTGAACTGTCACAGTTCCAAACAGTCCTTGAGCAGGTTCCCGGACAATGTACAGTACTGCAACACTTTCCTGCACGTGGACAGCTACTGGTTCTCTCAGGAAAAAGTGCTCACTGTTGTTAAAGGACACAACTCCAGGGCCATCGTCATTAGCAAGGATAGTGATTAAAGCTGCCAAAAAAACAACATGCAAGTGATAAATGAAGATAGAAGAGGTTATAAATACTGAAACAAGGGTACAAATTTTATTGGAAATGGACAAGTCTAAGGTGGTCATTTTTAGAATATCATTCCTTTTTTGGGGGGTCAGTCTTGGAGCTTGAACTCCGGGCCTGGGCGCTGTCCTTCAGCTCTTTAGCTCAAAGCAAGCGCTCTACCACTTGAGCCACAGTGCCACTACCACTTTTTTCTGCTTCTGTGATGCTGAGGAATCAAACCCAGGGCCTCACGCGTGTGAGGCAAGCACTCTACCACTGAGCCACCTTCCCAGCCCTATCATTCCCTTTGTAAAAGGGAAATGCTTAAGGTCATTTAATGAATTTTCACGTTCATTCAAAATACCAAAATACTTTTTAATCTTGGAACAGAAGGCAGGTTTGTCAGCCTGATGAAAAGATACCTCTAATGAGTGAACACAAAATATCACATAATTCAAGCAGTGATATTTCCCACTGCCGAAACGGAATCAAAACAATGACACTTGTCATCATGACTTTATGGGAATGTTCTTGGCCATCAGCCAGGTAATTTGTGAAAATGATGGAAACATCAGAACCATCACTTTTCTAAATAAAATGCTTGTTTGCTAAGAAAATTTAACAGAACTATAATGAGTTAAAATTATAACCCAAAAGATTTCAAAGGCAAGAGCATTCTATTTACCCAACTAATAAAAATACTAATAGGAGCCCTAAAAACTAATACCAATAAGGACATACCACTTGTTCAGTCTACATTAAATCACTTAATTTGCACTGTATCCCTGTAAGATTGATTATATTTTTATTCACATTTTATAGAGTATATGAGTAAAACACAGATAGGTACATCTAAAGAAATTCAAAAGCTAGAAAGCCAAGCACCTTGTCTAATTCCAAAGTCTAGCTCTTGTGAACAATGCTGTCATAAATTTTTGTTATGCATAAATATTTCTTATATATTGATTGACAGCATGTCCAACAATAGAAAATATATGCCATGGTATATTAGATATTTATATATATATTTATACCCATAAAGAAAAGTGAAATCAGTCATTTGTAGGAAAGTGGATAGAACTGGAAGTCTTAGTGTTGAATATAATAAACTTCAAAAAGTCAAAGATCATGTTTTTGCTTGTTTGTGAAACTTAGAAGATACATTTTTTCAAGGACATGTACTTATGAGCATATTATATATACTTATACATAGAGAGAGGAAGAGAGCATGAGTCTAACTATGGTACTACTTAGAGTTTTGAGGGAAAGAGGAAAATAGAACAATGTAAAGTGAATCATTTTGAAATACACTGCAACATTCATTGTATGACGATGATAGGAGAAATCTCAGTGAAAGTTGTAAATCAATAGGATTGAGGGACCATGAAAGAGAAAGCCATAGAGAGGATTACTCCGATTAAATGTAATATATCCATGTCTGAAATACTATAGTGAAAACCCTTAGAACAATTAATATATATTAAAAATAAACAAATTACAGGAATATAAATTAAACACCTTTAGTTAGGGGTTGAGTATGAATATTCAAAACAAGTTTTGGGGGGAAATAAATAAGGTGGATAAATTAGTTTGCATATATAAAAATAGAACAATGAAATGTGTTAAAATTGTTTTTCAAGTAGTGAGAGTAAAGGGGGATGATAGAGAAGGTAAATTTGATGGGGAACCTTGTATGAATGTATGGAAATGTCACAGTGATACCCTCCTTGTTAATAAAAATTTGTTTTAAAAAAGCTAAAGATGGGGCTGGGAAGGTGGCTCAGTGGTAGAGCGCTTGCCTTGCATGCCTGAGGCCCTGGGTTCGATTCCTCAGCACCACATAAGCAAAAAGTAAAAAGCCGGAAGTGGCGCTGTGACTCAAGTGGTAGAGCGCTAGCCTTGAGCTGAAGAGCTGAGGGACAGCGCCCA